CATTTATTTATGTACCTTTTGTTGCTAGCTGTAGATGCATCTTACACATTTCCAGTGTTCATTTTCAACTTTCTTTCTTAGATATTTATAATGTTTTGGTACTTCAGGTACCTGGTAGGATGTGATAATATTCTGGCTAAATTGCACACAAAGCACCCAGAACTTTGCAACAAGGTTGGTGGGCTTTTAGCCATGCACATGGATGATCTTCAAGTTCTGGCACCCTTGTGGCTTTCCAAGACTGAAGAAGTACGTGAAGACAGAGCTCACTGGGCAACCAATATAACTGGTGATATCTATGGGCAAGGCTGGATTAGTGAGATGTATGGTTACTCATTTGGTGCAGCGGAAGTATGTTATTTTGTTTATTTTATCCTAGCATAAAAAGAACAGAAAAAAATTCATCAAGCCTTGCTGTATGTGATATTCTTATACCCATTTTTTTTATTTATGTTCTTTGATTTTCAGGTTGGACTTAGGCACAAGATTAATGATGACTTGATGATCTACCCTGGCTATACTCCACAACCAGGTGTTGAGCCAATTCTTCTACATTATGGCTTGCCATTTAGTGTGGGAAACTGGTCTTTCAGTAAATTAGATCACCATGAAGATGGTATTGTCTATGAGTGCGGGCGACTCTTTCCTGAACCTCCTTATCCTAGAGAAGTATGATAACTTCTAAACCTTGGAGGAATGAATCATTAATTCTGGTTGAAAAATCGTTTGCACTAAGAGATGCCTGCTTAAGCGCTTATTTATTTCTGTGTAATGCATTTTTCTCTTACAACCAAAGAAAATTGAGGCATGGTATTGGTTTTATTCATGAACTAAACATCATGCTTGTAACTTAATGCCACTTGCAAATATCAACCGCTTTATTCCTGATTACAAATTGCCTGTAAGACTTTCCTGTTACAGCTGGAACTTAGTATATCTTTTCCTTAAGCAGGTGCAATCGATGGAATCAGATCCAAATAAAAGGCGTGGGTTATTCTTGAATATAGAGTGTATTAATACTATGAATGAGGGTCTTCTGTTAGAACATGCCAGACATGGATGCCCGAAGCCAAAGTGGTCAAAATATCTAAGCTTTTTGAAAAGCAAAACTTTCGCAGAACTAACTCAGCCAAAGCTTCTTACTCCTCATAGGCTACAAACTGAGGTGGTGAAGGGGAAGGAAATTGATGAAGCCATAAGACCATATCCAAAAATTCACACCATATTTTCTACAGAATGTACTCCTTATTTTGATTGGCAGACTGTAGGACTCATGCACAGTTTCCACCTCAGTGGACAGCCTGGAAATATCACACGTCTTCTCAGCTGTACAGATGAAGACTTAAAGCAATACAAAGGCCATGACCTGGCACCCACCCATTATGTCCCTTCGATGAGCCGCCATCCACTAACAGGCGACTGGTAATTCTGCATATATATTTATTTTCTTTTGCTCCAGATAATATCACTCCTAGTTGCAACATTATTCTTATTCGATAATTCTCCAAGCTCAAGATCTACTTAGAACTAGTCTTATTTCTCATCTCTTTTTGGATTGAGCTTCTGCTTGATTCTAGGATTATGTATTCTGTTAAGCCTTGAGATCTTGTGTGAATGATATGGAGCTTGTATGCCATCTTTGCCATATTTCGAGGACCAACCTGCTTCCTAAGTTGGTACTCTGGAATAGCCCATTTCCTTAAATATATTCCCTGCAATTGGTTGACTACTGTCTGATGAAGTGGTTCAACTCTCAAACAACTAAGTGCAAGTATACTAGTTCCATTTTGAGAGTAACAACCTCATGCTGGAATTGGAATTGGGTTATGTTCTTTGAAATTGGCATTTTAGTTAGGTAATATAAAGTTTAATTTCACGAATGATAAACAATCCTAAACCCAGAAAAATCAAGCAAAAGATTAAGAAAATGTTCAGATGACCAACCTTCATGAAGTAGAAGTCAGAGAGTAAACTCTTGTTATTGCTTGATCCATGTCAGGTATCCAGCAATTAATAAACCTGCTGCTGTTGTTCATTGGCTCAACCATGTAAACATTGATGCAGAGTACATAGTTATTCTTGATGCTGACATGATCTTGAGAGGGCCAATTACACCATGGGACTTCAAAGCAGCACGTGGCCGACCTGTTTCAACCCCTTATGAGTAAGATGAGAACGACAAAGATAATGGCTTTCTTCAAATTCCTTTTAGAGTACTCTTTATGCATCTTATCCCCCTGCCCTCTCCCCCTTCTTTGTATTCCACGTGTATGTATGAATTTGCTTACTTAGTTTACGGCTATGTGTGATAGATACCTTATTGGCTGTGACAATGAGCTTGCTAAACTTCACACTCGCCATCCTGAAGCTTGCGACAAAGTTGGAGGTGTTATTATCATGCATATTGATGATCTACGGGAATTTGCACTGCTATGGTTGCTTAAAACTGAGGAGGTCCGAGCTGACAAAGCTCATTATGCAACAAACATCACTGGAGATATATACCAATCTGGGTGGATCAGTGAAATGTATGGCTACTCATTTGGTGCTGCAGAGGTATTCTTTTTCAGTCAACTACTTAGGAACTTAATTGTAACTCTGTGTCATATACATTTCTGGTCACGCGATTATGAAGTAAAGACAATAATATGCTTTGAGGAATTGCTTTGCTGTTTGAGTTTATTGTTAATTGTGTCCTCTATTGAACACTTAGCCTATGTTTGGCATATAGGATTAGTTGAAGGATAGGATACCAATCATCCTATCACATGTTTGTTATGCACTTAAATCAAAGGATTGGATTATTGAAAGGATTATCCTATGGCAATAGGATAACTATCCTTTAGAAAAGTAGAGGATTATTTTTAATTCTTGGGATTAAACTTATGTATCCTATTATTCCCTTAAAAATTACATCAATAATTTAAATTATATAAACTTTGAGGAACCATAGTTTTGACCAATAAATAAATTATCTTATCTTAATCCTTGCACACATCAAACATATGATAGGATGACATTATTTAATCTAATTCTATTCATAATATTATCTTATCTTATCATAACATAATCTTGTATACCAAACATGACCTTAATTTACTGCTCCAGATAGTCTTAGTAATAATTTTCATTTAGTGTTCAACAATGTCTAGTTCAGTTGATATTTTCTTAAGATTTTGTTGTAACAGATTAAATAAAGTCTCTTATGTTCCTCTCCTCTTATCATGCAGTTGAAGTTACGGCACCTCATAAGCAGTGAGATATTAATATACCCTGGATATGTTCCTGAACCTGGTGTCAAGTACAGAGTTTTCCACTACGGCTTGGAATTTAAAGTTGGGAATTGGAGCTTTGATAAGGCGAAATGGAGAGACTTTGATATGGTCAACAAATGCTGGGCTACGTTTCCAGACCCACCTGATCCTTCAACACTCCAACAAACTGATGATAAGTTACTTCAGCGAGACCTGCTTAGCATCGAATGTGCAAAAACACTAAATAAAGCATTACGTTTGCATCACAAGAGAAGAAACTGCCCTGACCCTACAGCCTTATCCAATCCAAAGTTGGACACAACAAAGGATGTCACAAATTCAAGGAAATTTGATAGGTTTGCTGGGAATGACAATATAAAAAGCAATCCAGTGCCTAGAAATCATTCTCAGGAATCATCTCTACCTAAGGTTACAGATGGGCTCTTCAGTACTTTGAGGTTCTGGATCATTCTTTTATGGGTGTTTTCTGGCTTGGGTTTTATGTTAGTCATGTTAGTGGTGTTTTCGGGTTATAAAGGCAAGGGATCATCGAAAGGTAAAAGTAACAAGAACAGGAGAAGATCTTATACAGGGTTCTTAAAAATGAATGGCCACGACTGGCAAACCCGCAAGTCTGAGGTATCTTTGTAACATCACAAGTTGCTTGTAGAGAAGAAAATTTCTTTTGTAGAAGTTGGAGCAAGCCTGAGCATAATAAAGAGTTGTGAGATGATCATGGAGAAGTGAGTATCAATTACATGATTGGATATGAGAACACGTTTCTTGTTGCTGTAGGAAAATTTCATTGGTTGGCATTATAGTTCTTCTCTACATATATACTTTGGTTTCCATGGCCAAGGCTCCTCCCAAGAGAACTACTTTGACATGCAAGTTTGGTCAAATTTTGGTTCAGGAATTCTAAAATGTTACTCGAGTTTATATTGAGCTTCCAATCTTTTGCATATTAGAAGGGAACATCAATCAAAACAAAGAGAGATTATGGCCATTGTTTTCAGATGCGGTATTAGTTTCGAACACTGCCCTTGTTTCCTTGTTATTCTTCCACTTCTATAGTACAAAAAGTAAAAGGAAAAGGAAAAGCTTATGAATAAATATTCTCTATGATCTTTGCTTTGATATAATCATTCTTCAAGCTGTTTCAGAATGTTCATTCTCCCTTTCAAACTCATGTTCTTATGATATTTCATTCATCTTCTTATTGGACCCGGGCCCTATCTAAACGTGAAGGATTTTAATATGGGTCTTATTTTCTTATATCATTTCATTTGTTTTGGGCCTTTATGTAAGCCCGGATCACAGGCTGTGAAGCTGAGAATAAATTTATTAATTTGTGTATTTGTATCGTGTCAGTTTCATATTAAATAGGTGTAAAATATAAAAATTATCATATTACAATTTATATAAACACATTAAATATTAAATTAATTTTTTAATTTTTACCAAATTCATATATAATTCTTATCAAAATTAAATTGTATTCACTTTCATTTTTTTATCATTTTCATAATGTCTTATTGTGTCATATTTAAAATTTTTAGATTTAATTGATAACTATAATTTAATCCTGTTTGTATTTACTTTATAAAAGTATTATCCTACAAATATGGTAGCTTAAACCCATTTCTAATGAAGTGGATGCTTGAAATTATATATTACTACTAGTTGCTTACATTTTATTCATACCACCTTCCTGATAGCTAGAGTATATCTACTCCTGATGTACACAAATTTGTATACAGTTCAAGAATGATGATGATATTGATGGTCCCTGTCTCCAATGATTAGATTGGTAGATGGAAGTAAAACTTGCAAGAATTCCTAGGAATCCATTCCCAAAGTTGACAGTTTTTGTTTAGTTTTTGTTGCTTAACACTGATGTTGCAACTACTGGTTGTTCAACATAGAACATCCATGCCGTCTCTTTGCTTCAAAATCAACCAAAAAAAAAAAAAACTCCAAATCCAGACCAAACCAAAGCTAGAACATGTTAGTGGAGGGTTGAGTCCAAATTCAAACTGCCCAATTATGTGGGCTCTTTAATTTGAAATTTCCCAACAATATGGACGTTACAGTTTTCATTTATTTCAACAAGTGGGCCCCCAGATGAAGCTGAAAAAAGGGTTGCTGCTCTTAGTTGAACCCACCTCAGACAATAAAAAAGATTGCCTAGATTCTTGAACTTCTCTTTCTTTTCTCCATAAGGCCTATTTTTTCCACTATTGCTTTTTTCATTTTGAATTTCAAATTTAAATGCTCTTTTTGAATATATACTGCTAGAATTATTGCTAAATGTTTGAATCGTTTGAGGTTTGAAGCATTTGCAAAGACATGGGAGAATCAGCTTGTCTCATGCAACCATTTTCTTATACTGCCTGCATTCCCAATGAAGCCAAGGAGGTCAGTTCATGCATATGTGCATATGCATTATGAAATCTCCAGCACTCACATCTTTGTCTTTCTTCAAGTCTATTATAGAATTTGGATGCTAATGATCCATTGAAACCATTAAAGGTTCTTCCTTCTGGTTCCTACTTTCCATAATAAATTCAAGCCAGCAAAGTTCTGGTGAATTGGACACAAAAGCTTCAATCTTTGGATGATATTAACAAACTAATGTTTATAGTTTGAACTTAGCTTTCTCAACTTTTCATCTTCGTGTTCCTTTAGAGTTTAACTTCTGCCATGAGAAACTACAGAAAATTGGAAATTTTTGTGGTTACAGGGCAACCCAGTTCATGCTCTTGGACAGTCAATATCTTTTGGGAGGTTTATGTCAGAGTCCTTAGCTTGGGAAAAATGGTCAACATTTTCTAATAACAAATATGTTGAAGAGGCTGAGAGGTACGCTAGGCCTGGATCAGTTGCTCAAAAGAAAGCTTTCTTTGAAGCTCATTATAAGACCCTTGCAGCTAGGAAAGCAGCAGCCTTGCTCGAGCAAGCCAATGCTGCAGCAAACAATGCTACAGAAAGTGAAGCTGAAGATGGGGTTCAGATCATGAACTCAAACTCTAAAATGACAGTCCTTGACCAAGAAGTCAAGGCATCAAGTACAGAAACTGGCTCCATTTATGATAGTAAAGAGAATAATCCAAATTCTGTCAAGTTTGAAAGCAGCAAAGTTGAAGAAACTGATTCAGTTGCTGAACAGCATGTTCTTTTGGAGACTAATATGAAGAATAAATCTTTTGAAAAGAATGGGGTTGTTGACAAGGCTGAAATTAGAGATGTGGAGCTTAGAGAAACAACAACCCAAGTGAAGAATTGTGTGAAAGTTAACCAGTCAAGACAGCTTAGAGAGTATAAAGAATTGGAGCTCAGTGAAGGAATCCAAATGGAGAAACCTCTACTTAAGGTAAGGGGTTTATCAGTACCCCATGATTTTGTTTTGATTCCAAATTTCAATGTCCTTCTGTTTACATTGTTGCCGCTGTGTTGCAGAGTGCCATTATAAATCAAGATGAATTTGAGGTGAAAAGCAAGAAAAAACCACCATATGCTTCCTTAAAGGTGTCAGCTTATGCAAGAACATCCAAGGTGCCATCTTCACCTGCTAAATTCACAGCTCCCATTCGTCCCAACAAAGGAAATAATCTCACTCCGGTAGCCAAGAAGTCTGCAATGGACATTTCTGATAGAAAGAGATCAACTCCAAAATCAAGCCACAAGTCTATCACTTTCACCCCTGCCAAAGAATTCAGTAGATTAACTTCCACAATTATCCGGAAGATAGATGGTTCAAGGATTGGTTCAAATTATAAAGCATCTAAAGAATGTTCAACACCTTTAAGGACTCCAAACACGGTACCATTTTCATCTATCACTTTACCATTGTGTTCTAAAAATGTCTCCTAATTGATCTTCCAACTTGGCAGTTCTTGTCATGGATGCTAAATTGGGTTTCGTTTATGTACTAGGCTTCTACAAGTGGAAGACCAAAGCAAACCTCAGCCACTCCTTGGTCTGAAAACAGAAGGTATCAGATTAGTATTCATCCAAGAAAGGATGCTAGTCATCAAACTATACTTTTGTAACATTTATTCTTACATCTCCTTTATCTTATGGATGCATTACAGTGCTCGAACAGCCGCTAATTCCTCAGCCAGTGTGAGCCAAACATCTCATGGAAAATGGCACTTTCTTCCTACAGAGTAAGAAAACTTCTTTTACACTGAAAGAGATAGTCCTATGTGTTCATTGTGGTAAGGCATGTGCCACTCAAAAGGGACTTGAAGTCCTGATACTTATCTTTTCAATGCCAGTTGTTCAAAGTTTTTGAGTGCCTGCAGAAACAAATCGCAGTCCCCTGGTATATTTGCATCTTTCAGTTTGGGAACTGAAGAGAGAGCTGCAAGAAGAAAACAGGCAAGGCTTGACATAACCACCTGCTTTACATTTGTGTTATTTAATGTACTTCATTGGACTATATTCATCATTTCTCCATCTTTTTTCAGAGGCTTGCAGAGAAATTTAATGTTATTCAGGAACAAAAAGTACCGCAACCAACACTCAAGGTTACTTCTTACAGGATAAAATCGAATCATCTAATCATATTCTAATTCTATAAAGCATATCTGAGGTAAATAGGTTTTGTTATTCTCTTTATTCATTTGCAGGAAAAAGCGGAAACAGAACTCAAGAAACTACGTCAAAGCTTTTGCTTCAAGGCTAGACCACTGCCTGATTTTTATAAAGAAAGAAGAACAACCAAAGATCAGATGCAAAAGGTATAAAAGCATGTTCTCTTATCTTGTTCAAAAAATGATTGGGTTAATGTTACAAATGGTCCCTAATCTATAATGAAGTGTTTAATATAATACTTGAACTTCAAAAATCTCCAATATGGTATCCTAAATAATGAATCTGCTAACAAATATGGTATTTGGACGTGTCATCATTAGAGGTAAATATCACATTAAGTAACATATTCATAATTTCAGTATCATATTAAAAATTTTTTAAACCTCATATATCAATCACATAGAATATTTTCACTATGGCTATTCATAACATTAACTCGAAAATGATTCTATAATGATCTTAGTCAGTTACATTTGTGTTATTTGATGTACATAGCTAAGTTCTTCCTATTTTCTTTCTCCTGTTCCTCTTCATAGGTTCCATTGACACAACCAGAATCACCTGCCCCAGGAAAAAAATCTACTCCCAGCAAGCCAAGCACTGCCCAAAGCAAAAACTCTCTTCATCATCAGAAGTCCTCGATTAAGAACACTTGCTTCATGCATGTCCCGGAAAAGAAAAACCAAATTTCAGTTCTCACTTCACGAGTTGCAATGAATGCTCATAAGAATAAATCTCCAAATATCCAGAACGCTTAAGATTAACAACATTGTGAAATTGGCATTTCAGTTTTATGTATGAAGCCCAAAATACTACTCAAATACTAATGCTGGGTGTCTAGAATCGGATGAAATGGAAACTTTCCAACAGAAGTTTCCTTCCAAACCTTAGCAAATTCATATTTGCATGCAAGTTTCCTTCCAAACCTTAGCAAAGTCATATTTGTATGCAGTATTTCTTTCTGTAATTAGTAGCACTATTTAATAAATATTGTAAAAACCTTGTTGTGCCTTAAATCATGTTATGGAGCACCATGACACTTGGGGAGGGGGGAGAGCATGTTGAATGCAGAATTGTGGGTCAATGCTAGCTAGAAACAGGACTTGGCTACCTAACTCGAAAGAATTTTCAGCAGTTGAAGGGCATTCAAAATCAGTGGTTTGTATCATGCCAAAGGGAATTCATCAGACAGATCTAATAGAAATTAATTATGAGATTAACAACAATATTCAGACATGTTTCGTAATCTTGCTGAAACAATTAAAAAATCCTTGGTGTCTAGGCGTCTCTTGCGTGCTTCAAGAGAATCACATAACCCATTAGCCTCTAACTATTTGTAGTGCCAATTATTAATCACTTTTCCCAAGATGCTTGAAAAATGAAAGCACATCAGACTCAGGCTTTAAGTTTTTCTTTAGATAACTATAATGCTTTCAAGCAGTTGCACAGATTTTATGTCAGCAGACAATAGCTGAATATTTGACTGCTCAGCAATTAGTGTATATTTGAAGGATTTGAATCTTCGTGAGGTCAAATAAAGAAAAAGTATGGATTAGAAAAGAAAAAAGATGGTAGAATTATACATAGTAAATAAATTCACATGGCTTTGAAGAAGGAAGCCATTGATTAATAAATTATGGTCCAACCCACAACCCCATGTTACAATCATAGACAACCATCAAAACACAAACATAGTTAATAACAAGAATGAAATTTGAGAAATCGATCATCAAATTCCCCCAACCAAACACCAGCCTTCCTCTTCCAAATCTTGAACCAAAACAAACTTCACATCATCATCATCATCAATAAAAACACCTTCATTTTTCTCATCATCATTATTATGATCAACAATATTTTCTCCCATATTCTCACCTTCAGAATTCACTTTGAAACCATCATCGTCGTCATTATCGTCATCATAATCATGATCATCATTACCTTCGCAATAATCTTCATGGTCATTAGACAAATGGTCCAGAATCCTTGTAGCTGAAAACCCTGAAAACTTCAAACCAGGCCTCCCATCAACAACTCTCCAAGTGACCAACCTATAGTTTGTGGCCATATCACTTGACCGTAACTTATGAGTACCCTTGGTCTTGTCCTTGGCCTTACAAGCCGGATGCATGTGACACCCTACGCACCGTGGCCTACCGCATCGTCCTGTAAACTTGGAATGGTTAGTAGGCTTCACAGGCACCTTGGTTAATAATCCAGCAGTCGGAGGCGAATCAAGTTGTTGAATGAAACGGTGTTTAGGTCTCGGATTCCATGGAGATGGGATGATCCTATATGTTGTAACCATACCATGTTGGCGACCTTCCCTCTTCATTTTTGACAAGAAAGTGATGTGGGCTAAAGGAATGATAATTGATGAGAATAAGATGAAGATAGCTTTGTTTGTGAATCATTTTATATGGTTTTGATTAGAAGGAAAAGCTTGGGGAGCAAGGATTTTTATTGGTCATACTACGTGTGGACCAAGCTTAGAACAATAATATGCGGAGGCAGCTAATATAAGATTAAACAAATTGATAAAATTGGCAAACAAGGACCTTCCTCCAACTAAATAACTAGATTTGGTTACATTGTTTGATAAGTTTCCTCTTTTTTTAAAAAATCATATTCCATTTTCATAACGAAGATTAAGATTGAAAAAAGACTTTATAAGGTAAGTTATAAATTAAAAAATTAAAGATCAATAAATTCAATTTTTAATTTAATTAGTTCGTATTATTACTTTAACAATTTTAAAATTTAAATATTAATATTTATAATTTTTTTTCCAAGTTACGAGGTCCTTTATTAAATTAATTGAAAATATAGTGATTATATTACTTTTATATATAGTTGGATGAATGTCAATATTGACGGTGATCTCAACTATAAATAAATGATGGCTGCATTTCTCTTTTTGAAAAAAAGATAATGAATTTACAAAATTTTAAATCTTTTATAAATAAAAAGATTGTAAATTAATAGTTTTTATATCACTATTTTGTTACGTTTTTGTAATACCCAAGTCTATTTTTATATTTTATTTAGTTGACGCATCAAAATTTTATAAGAGAAAAGAGAATACGAAAATTAAGAAAAAAAACTCTACGGAAGAGAAAAGAATGGTTGAGATTGAAAATTTAATCATGCAATTAAATATTTGGAGGTAAGACTTACCTTTTAAGCTCTTTAATTTTTGTTTTGTGAAAAAAAACTCAAATATTATGTTAAGAATTTTAATATTTTAAATTTTCAGATAACATTTCGATAATTTTTTGGCGAAATTATGAGTATCGATGGAAAAGTTTCTTTAAGACTTTTTTAAGAGTATGAGCAACATTTCATTTAGTTGAGTAATTTAAGAGAATTTAATATTTTAAATTTTTTATTTTTAGGTTTTTGACAATTAAAAATACTCAAATTTGAGCCATCGGAACTCTTACATCTGTGGCCAATTTGGTCGAATTTTAGGAGCTTTTGATAATACTAAATGTGAACTTTTTAATGGTACAATTAGTTTGTTAAAATTATTTATAGGCTAAGAGAATCGAAGCCCCAAAATAGGTTTTATGAATATAAAACTCAAAAAATTCAAGCTATTTGTGATAATTTGTCAAGTTTTTACCTTCAAAACTTAAGTTTTTGAAAATAATTTTTACCGAAACAAAATTTTAAGTTGTAGTATTGCATTTCTATTTTAAATTCATGCTTTCGTTTGTTACTAGGAAATATAAAATGTTTAAGATTTTGTTACTCAAAATAAGCCAAATAATCATAAAATGTAAAAATTTCATAGTTTAAAAATTCTTATTTTTTAATTATTTAAAAAAATTTTATTTTCAGCCACCATTTGATTTACTTAGTTATAAATTACATGAGTTTTAGTTATATTATTTTTAATAAATTTTTATTGTGTTAATTTTATATTATTAATAATGTTAAATGGTTATTAAATTATTTCAGATTTACAAAAAAAAAAAAAAGATTACAGTTAAGTATTAAAAAATTAAATATTTGTAAAAATTTATATTGCTATTGATTTTTATGTTTTAATTCTTAATTTCATATTTATACTTAATTTTAGATATTTTGTTCTATTATTTGTTTTATATGCTAAAAAAATATTTTCAAATAGTTTTGAATTGTCGAAAATGTTATCATACAACCCAATTTGCTTAAGATAACCTGTAAAAGGTTTGTTTTATTAAATTTATGTTTTCGAGATAAATTTTAATTTTTAAAAATCAGCTTTAATACATTTAGAGTTGAAATATATAATATATACTGTTTTGCCTATTTGTTTTGTAAATTGAGTTGAGCATATAAAATATATATATATGATTTTTTTGTTATGAGTTTGGAATATGGTTTGATTTTTTTTTTTTTTTTAATATGATTTCGTAATAATATATTTATATATCCATTGTTTGTCGAAATATAAAATTTTGATTTGGAATGATTATGGAATTTATTTTGCATGGATTATGTTTTGAGAAAATTTATAAATATTAAATTTGTATATGTTGGGTAATCTGAAAATTATAATGGTTTTTGTCTCCTTGTATGACTATATTCTGACCCTGTCAATGAGGGTTAATTGTTGGCCATGTCAACATATACTTAGTGATATCGATATCAATTTCAAACCGTACCATCGATTGAAAATAGTAGTTTTTGTTCATTATGACATTGGTGATATACTTTTATCCCATTGCACTAAAAAGATTAATGTGATTTTTGTTCTATCTTATTGCATTAACGGGTTAATTATAATTGTCAGTGCAATGATTTAGTTGTTTCTGATATACTTCTATTCCATTGCACTAGAGGAAAATTTCGATTCTAACTTATATCCCAAGGGTTAAGTCGTAGTATGTTACAGGAGATTAAATAAATTTATAATTTTATGATATTTGATTCTATTTTGTGATCTAAGAATCTGGTTTTGAGAATATGTGTGAATACAAAATTACCCAAAATATTTTTGAATCATTTAATTAATGTTTTAGCATAAATATTTTGTAGCATACTTAATCCAACTGAGAGAATATCAACTATTTACTAAGTCATCGTACTCATTCTTTTAATTTTTTTTTATTTTTTCAAATTTCGATGTTTGTATCTTTAAAGACTTAATCTCAACAACTACTTAAATTAGTAAAATTTTAGCATCTATCTTTAGCTTGGTATAGTTTTTGAGTGAGTATTTTATTATTGATTCTAAAATATTTGCTAATAAGAATTTTAGTAATCTTCAACCAACTTGTAAGGGATATAATTTTGTAAACTCAAGATTTTATAAAATATTATTCTGAAGATTATTTGAGATTTTGATTTAGTTCGATATTTGTTGCCTTACATGCTTGTGAGATTCATCTTTTGAGTATGCGGCATTGTTACGTCTTAAATCTTCGGGTTTAGGACATGACAATTTTAATATGTATATATTGGATTAGAATGGATGGTACAATTAACTTAATAATTAGTTATAATTTCAAATTTAAAAGTTTGAATGCTTTAAGGTTTACAATCAATTATATATGATTTTGATCCTACAAGATCTTTAAGAACTCAAAAATAGGCTAAGTAGACAAAGAATAAAGGATAGAATTCTACAATCACATTTCTCTCAATAAACACCAGCCTTCATCTTCCTCAGTTTGGTCCAGCATGAACCCCACATCACAATAACTCACATCATCATCGTCATAGTTACTATCCATGTTATGATCATCGTCAACATATTCTTCAATCTCTGCTCCTCTCTCCTTTTCTTTCTCATGTAGAGACCAAATATTTGCCATAGAATCATCATCATCATCATCATCGTCATCAAGAAGACCACAAGGACCACCATCATCATAGTCATCATGAACATCATTTACATGATGACCAATCTCATCATCTTCATTAACACTATGTAGATGTTCCAAAATTCCCATGGAAGAAAACCCGGAAACACTCAATCCGGGTTGCCTGTCTACAACGCGCCGCCAAGTAATCAACCTAGGACTTACAACCTTATAACTTGTCCTAAACTTTTGAGTACCCTTTGTCTTGTCCTTGGATTTACTAACAGGATTCAAGTGACTCTCAAGACATTGTGTCCTATCACATTTCCCTGTAAACTTGGAATGGTTGCAGGCCTTTGCTGGCACATTGGAAAATAATCCGGTAACCTGAGGCAAACTAAGTCTTTGACCGGATCGTGTTCCGGGTTCCGGGTTCCATGGAGATGGTAGGACATCATAAGTCCTAAACATGCCATGTTGGCAATCCTCCCTCTTCATTTTGGCCAAAAATGATATAGGCTGAATGGGGTCCGGTAGTTCTCTTGTTTGTAAATGTCTTTATAGGAGCATAGAATTGGGAACATAGGCTTGAATTTTGCCTAGTCGTGTGGTCATTGTTGGCCAAGGAGTTAATCAGTTTGACTGCCATTTTCCCTCTTTAGGTGTTGGCCGGTTAAGTGTTAACCTTTTTCTGTTTAAGTGGTCTTTAAAGTTGCAGCATGAAAAACAAATTCTAGGTGTATAACAGAAAATTGGAGCTGTGTAAACAATCAATTTCATTGATGAACGGGCGGGATTCATGGCATTTATACCGTTCAAAAAAATAAAAAAAAAGAAGTAATTTGTAAATAAAATCTTAAGGCCTGTTTGTGAGTTCAGAAATGAAGTTGTTTTTATTGTTTTCAACAAAGGGTTTCTTCCTTCACCAAATAAATCATGGAAGAAAATGGTAATTCCAGAATTCAGGATATACACGGCTTACATTCACAGTGCAGCACAATCTGCCCCTGCTTGAGTCTAGCTTCAATTCTTGTACATAAGCATGCAAACACAGTAAGTCAGTTAGGAGTGTAATCTATATAAACTGCATATTATAGAAACCTTTGGATTCAAGCAAACTCTGCCTCATGATCTCAGTGAAAGACCTAGGGGATTGAGCATGCAGTAATGTAACAGATATCAAAGTTACACTGCAAATTGATTCAGGACAAATGATCATACTAAAGTTACACTGCAAATTGATTCAGGTGAGATTTTCTATACAGTCATACACTTTGTTTGTTTCACAATGATTCAGATGTATCGGTCTTTCTATATCCCAACTTGGGAAAACAAAGAAAAAAGATTGAATGATTTTAAATTATTTTATTGTAATTGTTTTTCCTGCAAATATAACGCATTGTCTAATACTTCTGTGTTGCTATCCTTACACATTTTCTAACGCTGGTTGATCAGAAGACTTGACAAGTGGCTCCTTGCCCTCTCGTTCGAGTTTAGAAGCAATGGTTGCTTTCTTGGTAGGATATAACACGAAATGTTGACACATGAAAATAATGTCAAAGAATACAGATACCTGCAAAATAAATTGCACCACAGATATCAAAAGAAAGAAAATAGAAGAATTACGTGTGGGAGAATCTGATTTCCCATGAAGTGTCATTGCCCAAATTTTGAAGCAATAAATTCACTTTGGAAAGCAAAGTTCAACATTTACTTCTTCTTTAGCAGTCTTCCTCTCATCATGCAAGTCTTTCATACATGTTTTTTTAAGTAATATCCAAGAAAACTTGGGAAGAATGCACTAAGAAAATAAAGGCAGATCCTCTTTATAAATGGCAAAAGGCATTAAGAGAGTAATAGCATGAGATCGCTGAGTACCAACACAGAATTGGTACAGTCTAGAATATTAAAACAAATTAGGATGGCCGAGAACATGACATACCAAAGAAAGCAATGTCTTCCCTATATTTCCATAAAAGTTCACCCAAGAATCTGAAAAGAAAATAACATCACAACTAACATCATTGTATGAAGCATAACTTTAGAATGCAAGATGGATTGCTAAAGGAGGAGAGTATACTTTGATCTATAGACTGTACGGCCATCTGTGCATAATTTGCCAATCCTCCAATAAAATCAAGCAAAATGTTTCCAATGCTGAACCCATCTGTACTCTTTCGTGCAAAGTTCATTACTGCCTGAAATTTTGTGACACAAACTTTGTAAGCATCTAGACGGAGCAACTTCCTTCAGTCACATTAAGATGTAAAGGCAATTAAGACACCAAGAATCTTCCTATGTTAGGAATGTGGCCAAGGATGCTACTCGACAGTGATGTTGGTTGATAGAAGAGATAATAATGGGCATCCAACATGCCCTCATGTGATTCAAGAAGATGAAGAAGATTTCAGTTTCAAGACCCATCTCTTTCTTTCTCTTTTTATTTTTCTTCAATAAGGAAATCCCAAGTTTAATAGTTTGAAGAAATATTTTGCATGTGTGCTAGTGGACTTTTCCATAATTGAAAACATGATGCATCAATCAGCCTGATCAATACAAAAATCTAACAGCTGCAATTCTATAAATGATTCAAAACAGATCAAACAGAAGGTTATTCCGACCTGGGGAATATATTTGATCACCGTCATGAAAACTTGTATTGAGCTGCAACATCATTGAAATAGCAAAAAATTAAGAAACCACAAGAACTACATGGCAGTTTTACTTTGAAACCATGAAGATGTCAGTCTTCACTTTTCTCACGCAGAGACAAAGGATTAAAAAAGACAAAAAGGACTTACTTAAAGATGGAGATCAACCAAAGCCATGATTGGCTAGGCAATGCTACGAAAACACAAATGGCAGCAATTAACCACACAGCAGAGACAATTCCAATAGAAATCTTAGAAACCTTTTGAGATCCACGCTGCACAGAACCATCAATTAAACATTGATTGTCAACTTAAGTCCATAGGAAAGTACCCATTCTAGCAACATAGAAGGTACTAAAACTTACATCATAAATCATGATTTGGAACAAAGTTATAGATGTCAATAAAACAGCATGTATAGAAAACGCAACATCATTAGCAGCTACAGGGATCATCTGCATCAGCCATCAAGCACCAAGTCAACCAAACAAACAAATACACTAAAAACACATAAATTTAGAAAAAAAAAAAAAAACTATAAATTCCCATTAACAGGTAGTTTTAATTCATAAAAAATTCTTCTTTCTGATAACACTAAGCTAACATCTCAGACTCACAGTTAACAATTTAGCTATGAGAAATGATTTTTGTTTAATTGTTTTACCAGTTAGCTCTACAAATTCAACTAATTCACCAAATAAAACATAATAAAAGCCAAAATAACAAAACCCAAGTACTGAAAAAACTACTATAATGAACCATGAAAGGAAAAATCAAAGGTAAGAATTAACAAGAACCTGTCCATAGCCATATTTCTCAAAGTATTGCTTCTGAATAACGGGGCTAAAGTAGAGACAAACGTTGTAAATCATATAAGAGGAGTGCTTTGTCAAATTCAGCACCACGAAATCAAAGTTCAACCCCACAACGCTGCGTTTTATGAACAAACAAAAGCAAGAGTTGAAAACTCTAAGAACAAGGGAAAACAAATTGAAAGCACAAAAATTGGGATTTTAAAGGATTATATACCTTTTTCTTCGAAAATTTAAGATGACTTGAGGATAGAAACTAATCGACCATGAGAAAAACGCAAGCCAACCCAATATTTCATATGTGATTTCCAGTGGAATTGAATTCCAAGACGCCATCTTTTTGCTGATTTTCCCGGTTGATTGGATAGAAAGTAAACCCGGAGCTGGACAAGGAAAACCAGAGAAACCAACTTGTAAAGCTTTTTTTTTTTTTCTTTGGATTGGACCGTTCTGTCAAAGTGGGGCCTGATTTGATGCTGACATGGATATGGATATTTTTGTATTGGGTCCTTTTTTTGGGATATGTTCACTTTGTTTCTTTGCTTTTATCCACCCCTAAATCTCTCCGATAAATCTATTTGTTAATTTAAAATATACATGGTAACATAATTAGGATATTATGTAAAAATTATTAGTTTAAATTTTAATAATAATTATATATAAATTTAATAAAATAAAAAAATATATTTTATCTTTTTGTATTCATATATATAATTTTTATATAAAATATAATATAAATATATAAATTTTAATTTTTATATGATATAAATATACAAATCATCAATTTTAAATTAAAAAAATTTTTTTATAATTTTTAAGTTTATAAGCAAAATTCTTAATAATCCTATGTCACATTTTATTGATCACTGTTCTCCTTCAGGGCTTTTTCATGGCTAAGAGAATCATCTTCGATGAAATTATGGTTCTTCCAATGATCAGAAGATCCCGTTTGTGTTTTATGTACGCAGTGGGCCAGTGGCGGAGCCACATGAAACCCTAATACTTATCGATATAATTTATATAATTTATAAGTGTTCCTTTTAAAAATTAAAAATGATTCCCCTCAATAAATAAAAAGTTATTTTTTATGATCATAAATGTTTAGAATCTTGAGATTTTATATTCAAATTTTATTATATATAGATAGATTTGTTTTAATTTTATGTTGAATTGTTAAATTATACTCTAATTTCTTAATTAGTTTATTTGTTTGATTATGTAATTATGTAATACTTAATTATAATTGTAATTTATACTTGTAATTTCAAAAGAAAAAACTTTTAAGACAAAAAAATTCAATTCTCAAATTCCAATTAATTTCAAAAAAATTATTAATATTTATAGTTTATTTATCATTAAAAAATTAAAAAAATAAATATATTTGTTAAATATTACCCATGTTAAAAAATCAAAATCATTCAAAGAAGTTTAACAAAAAAAAAAAAAAGTGAGATTAATAGAACATAAAGAGTTACAAATTTTATTAGCTAAAAGCTTGAACTTGGTACTAAGTTTTATTTCCTAAAAACTTGAATACAGCAACAAGTCGTTATAGTTATTGTAAAAGAATGTGTGTTTTTATTTTTTTAGTGACCCAATTATAATGATGTTACAAAGGGTAATTAAAACTCCTTCCATGATAAGACTATTGATCACTGCATTTTTATCTTCTGATTTTGAATCATTAATAATAAATTTTAAATTCTTTTTAATTTTAAATTTGAGAAAATTATTAATATTTATTGAGAAAAAATCTTAATCTTTTAACTATATTAAGAGAAAATTTACTAAAACTTTTTAGTCTAATAATTTTTTTTTTATGAAAGATTGTTGGCTACAATTTTAAATAAAATTATTTGAGTTTTTGTTTTATTTTAAATAGTTATATATTTTTTTTATTTCAATACTTGAATTTTTTATGTATCTTATTTATAGTTATATTATGAAATATCATATTTTACTTAAAATTTTTATAATTTTTGATAAAATAATAACATATTATATGCTAAATAAAAATTTTCAAATTGCAGATGTTATTTAATTTGGCCCTTTCTAACTTGAAGTCCTGGATCCGCCACTGTGTGGAGGGCAGATGATGCATGCTTAATGCCTTCAAAACCTTGTAAGTTTTTCCATTCTTGTGATCATGCTCTGCACTAGCTTTTGTCTCTTCTTGACAGCAATAGATGCATAGCGGTGGCTGTCTCTAAAAATTTATTACTGACGATTGAATTCTAGGTTTGTTGGAGAAGTGCTGTGGAAAAATAGAAAGACGTATAATCTAAATAAATGGACTTGGCAGTTTAATTAAGTGAACCTTGAGCTTCCATGGGAACTGAAAGGCGATTGCTGGCATGATCAACCTTGGTCCTGATACTAGAAAGAACTCCATTTTATTGTCAACAACTTCACCACTCTAGGACATACTTAGCACTTAGCAGGTGAAAGTCTCTCCTTGGCACCTATTTTCATATATATATATATATTAATTTTCTGCACGTGTGCGAAGCACGTTTGATTCTTATCTCTAAAAATTCATTCCAATAAAAAAAATTTTTATATTATGATATAATAATAAATACTAATAATTTAATTTTGGATTTGATATAATATAAGTAATATTTGATAAATTTTTATATAATTTTAATTTTAATAACCTTTGATAAAATTTTGGTCATTCTCAATACAATTTTGATAATTTATTATATAATTTTGGTAACTATTAATACAACTTTAGTAAATTTTTATAAAATTTAGTAACCTATTAATGTAATTTTAATATTCTTTTGATAACTTATGATATACTTTTGATAATTATTGTCAAAATTTGCGTCATCATATATTTAATAATGTATTCCTAAAAAAAGTTAGGCTTCAATTCTTGTATAAGATAATTTTTTTATACATAACATTATTATTTCATTTAAATTTAGAATTTTTGTTCACTAAATTTTTTTATTGAATCAGTTTATGGTAAGTTTATCCTAGTATCTCAAAATAAAATTTCTAACTTTATTTTTGCTAGTAACCAAGATTTAATTCTTGATAACTTCAAGTTTAAAAAAATTTATCCATAATTGATAATTAAGTTATTATTAATATACTATTATATTATTAATGATTTACTATTAAGATATCAATGATATATTGCTAAATTATCAATAATTTTTTACTAAATTAGCATTGATTACTACTTATTTATAAATAATTTATTACTAAGTTATGATTAATTCACTACTAAATTATTGATAATTACTAATTTGCTACTAAATTATCACTTATTTACAATTAAACTATTAGTGATTTAATACTAAGTTATCAATAATTTACATTTAAATTATTAATGATTTACTGTTATGTTATTATGTATTTACTACTATATTATCATTAATTTACTACTTAGTTCTCGATTATTTATTAAAAAATCATCATAGATTTATTGTAAAATTAACTATGATTCATTATTAAGTTATCATTAATTTATATTAAATTATCCTTGATTAACTATTAAGTTATTGATGATTAACTACTATTAAGTTATATTAATTTACTTTAAAGTTTTCAATGATAAATCATTAAATTATCATTAATTTATTATTAAGTTATTTATAATTTACTACTCAATTTATTAATTAATTACTATTAAATTTAAACTGATTTACTATTAAGTTATCACTAATTTATTATTAACTTATCACTGATTTATTATTAAGTTATCAATTATTAACAACTAAATCATCACTTATTTTTTATTAACGTGTTATTAATTTACTAATGTGTTATTATGTATTTACAACTATGAAACATGAAATTTAAAAATTTACTAATAATATATGAGATAATTTTCTTTTAATATAATAATTGTAATACAAAAAAAAATGAATATTTTAAGTATTTAGTAAGTGAAGGGACTTTTTAATAAAAGTTAGAAAGGCAAAGGACTTATCAATAAATAACACAATTTTTAATAGGGTTAACGTATACTACTGTTTTTGGCCGGCAACTAATCAAAAGAAAATAAAAGCTTATTTCTACTTTCTTTTTTATACAAAATAGACAACTCGAAGGATTTCAAGTGAATAGTAAGAACAAAATCTACAATGAGAGTTATCTTTTAAGTAAATAATTTTCTTTAATTTTGAAGAAATAATGTTAATTATTAAATCTTGAGGTATAACTTATAATCGATAAAACCTAAAATTTTAGAGAATCTATTATCCCTCTTCAAGATTAGTTTAAGCAAATCATTGAGACTTTAATTATTGTCTAATAAAGTATTAAAAAAATTTAGTAATATGATTTTATTATTGTAAAAATAGGAAACAGAAATTTAATGGGGTTAGAAAGAAAACTCTTTATTTTGTATGAATCTTGGTGTTTTGCAGTGGTGGATTAAGATAATATTTTGTATTAAAGGATAAAATACTGCTATGATTATTATATATAATTAGAAAGCTTGCTGAATTTACTTTCCAATGAAATAAATGGAAGTCAATTCCAAGTTTTTCATGAAGAGTAGTTTAATATTTACTTAAAAATGTACAAGCTGCTTAGTAACAGTAGTAGGGAGAAATTGAAACTCCTCTTAATTTTTATACAAGGAATTATGTATTAAACCATACATGTTTGAACAGGTCATTAAGTTTACTTTTCAACAAAATAAGCAGAACTGAATTCTAAGTCTCTTATGAATAAATACATAATTTTTATTAGAAGGTATACATGCTATCTAATAATAGCATATGACATGGATTAAAAATTTTATTACAATTTATCTACAAGGAATTAAGAGATGGGCCATATATGAAAAGAAAGCTCATCGAGTCTAGTTTCTAATGCATTAAAGAGATCTTAATTTTGATTTAGATATATTTAGATATGATCATTTTAATGAAAGGAGCTCAAGCTGTCAATATTAATTAGTTAAGTTAAGTCTTGTTTGACTTAATTGTTTTTAGTGTAATTGGTCTCAAAATGGGTTGATTAATTTCTGTTATATTGAAATTATCTTGAATAGGCCATTAAGTATTTTGGGAGAAAAACTAAGTGGTGAAATCAAAAGAAGGTAAGTAGAATCCCACATACTTTGCTTGTTTTCGAACCTATGTATATATATATGTATGTTTTTAAATGAGTAAATGTTTTATTTTTTTATTTTCAATATATGAAAATAAGATCAAGCATACGATTATTTTGTGTTTTTGTTATATAAATGATGGATCATGCTTATAAATGAATGAGAAAAATATTTATATTTAAGGAACAATTTTATGATAGTTACATTTTTACATCCATGAGAAGTGAGATCATCGACACACGAACACGGCCTTGGCTAACGAATTATAGTAGTTAGCATGTATGTAATCATATGGCCTTGGCTAATGGGTTATAGTAGTTAGCATTGGCTCTGGCTAGTAGGTTATAATAATTAGCAATGATCATGTGAATAAATTTGTCATGGGTTATAG